CATGGCGGTGGTTTGTGACGATTGATCGATTTTTGCCTCTTTGCAATGATTTAGTATTGTTGATTTTCGTTGCGTGGTGATGGCCAAATGGCGGTGCTGCAAGAATATGGGTTTAGGTGGTGGTGTGGTGCGATTTTGGTAGTGTTGTTTTTTTTTTTATTGGTTGTTGGAGTGGTGGCTGTCATTTTAGTGTTGTCATTTTATTGGGGATTTGAGTGGTTCTTGTTGGTGGTGGAGCTGGCGATGGTGGCACATCCCAATTCCCGACAATTTGGGCGTGGATGATGTGCATTGAAGTAGTCATCCATTTGATTTGAATGATATTGATGAAGATGAGGAAGAACTTGAAACCCGATACAAAAGGGAAGGAAAAATCTAAACAAACTACAAAGTGTCGAGAACACTTCAAATTGGTTTTTACAGGTCATCAGTCAATAGAGTTCAAGAATCTAAAGCACTTTACAAATATTGCCAAACAAAATCGACACGACAAAAGGGAATCGGAACTACGTACCTCAATTGTCTCTAGAAGGTCCAAACATGGACTAATTGGCTAAACACAATCAAAACTTCAATTTGGTACTCCTTCTCCTGACATAAATTCTACTATATTAAGCACACGGATCTATTCGGAAGAAAAAGAAAATGAAAGAATTCTGAAATTCATCGTCGATACTGAATAGTCACTAAACAAAAGGGACAACAAACATTTCACAAATTTTGTGTAAGAATATATCTTCAACCAAGATATGTTGAAGTAAGTAGCAACACTTCGTTTTGATTGCATTGATTATTTCATTAGGCATAAAAAATAGTTAATACATGATTTACAAAAATATGGTGGTGTAATATATTTTACATCAAGTATATGGGATGGAATTAATTTAAAAAAATGTTATATAGTTATAACTATTAAATATTAGGGTTGGCAACGGGATGAGTTAGTGCAAGGCTCCGGGCATTTTCCCACCCTGTAACATCCCGATACCCGTTTAAGACAGGGTGGGGCCGTTGCCAAATTTACGTACCCGTTTAAATTTTTTTATAGTTTTTGATAATTCATTTTATTGTCCACATTCATTCAAGTGAGAAGATAATATAGTAATTAAATTATTTATTTTTAAAAGTTAAATTATTTGAATATATTTGGTAAATTAAGATTTTTATTGTTTATCATATTTTTTAAATAATCTTAGTTACTATTTTATTAGAATTAATGAAATTTCGTAGAGTTTTTCTATTTAAAGTATTGAATTCTTTAAAAAAAAAAAAAAAAAAAAGGGGGGGGCAGGGGTGGGACAAGGCCTTGTTAACGTACCCACCTCATGGCAGAATTCTCCGTCTCGTACCCTACCCAATTACCCGATTAAGAGGGTAAACGTGGCGAGGCCCCGTGGGTATCGATTTGACGGGTATTTTTGTGATCCCTACTAACTATATGGACTTATCTTGAATAATACATAAAATAATAATTGTTTTTTAAATAACTGAGTTCCCTTGTAATGCTAATAACATATTTAATGTTGTTATGCAAAGTATAAAGAATATCATTGTGAATCTAAAATTCTTAGTTTTACATTTAATAATGCAAGCGTTAACAAACCTGTAAATGATAAATTATGTTGAGTTCTTAATAAAAATTTTGGTTTTTTTCTATTTCATGTTTGTTGTGTATATCATATATTTAGCCCCTGTTTGATTCCCATTTCTGGGATAAAATATATTATGAAATAGTGATGTTTTGAAGAATGTGTAGTTAGAAAGTAAGGAAAAGTTTTTCAGATACGTGTATAATTATTTTATAGAAGAATGTATGGTTGAAGATAAATTTTGGAAAAATGCATTTTTGAAAAAATGGGAATCAATCAAGAGCTTAATTTAATTGTGCAATATGGGATGAAACACATTAGCAAACAAATATGTAGAATTAATATATATTACTATGTCACTTAGTATGAAATAAGCTTTTGAAAAATATTGTACTCAATTTTCTATGGAATCCAAAAAAAATTGTAATTGACGTAAGACGTAAATGGAATTCAAGTTACATATTGATCAAATCTTATGAATGCTATGAAGCACTAATTACTAAATTTTATAAACTCGGACATACAATTAAGTCAAAATCAAATGGTTCGAACCATAAATCCGGTTGATGCAATGGATTTAGATTTACAGTATTTTTGGAGAAGTCACGAATGGATATATCCCATTTTGCCATTGCATGTGATCTATTAATACTTCCAGTTAGCATTGTAGCATCCGATTTTGCTCTTAGTGCAAGTGGCCGAGATCTATTCGATTTCAAAAATCGACTCAAATAAGACATTTAAAAAAGTTTAACTTGTATAAAGGATTGAAAAGATGCTCATTATCGAATCCAAAATCAGTATGTAGAAATTCTGTCTAGTCAAGTAAATGGTATTTAATTTCGTTATATTCATAATCTATTATTTTCTTAATAATATTCTTTTTAAAAAAATTGTATATGTAACAAGTTGTTCATTTACAATTTTAATTCTGTCTACTAGAACGTTAAGTACCCAATCCCAAGCACGATCTTAAGCTCCGCTCTTCTTTTTGATAAGCGAAGCTCGTGGATATATAGCCTGAATCGGCTCGGTTCGTTGCCACTCCTTGGCATAGGCCGACTTGTGTATTGCCACTCCTACGCCTAGGTAGGCTCTGCTTTAGTTTACCTATAACTGACTAAATGTTCTAGAGAAAAATCCAAAATTATTATATTTTGTTATGATGAAAACCTATTTTAGTTACTATTTGTACCATATGTTTTTTGTCATTTCTTATATAAGAATACAAAACTAATTTTATAAAGCCTACAAATTAGATACGACCTAATTCTTGTTTAATTAAGATATGCTTCGATATTATCCACTTGTGTGAAAAAACTTATAAGCCAAATTTTTAGTACAATAAAATATTAATTGCTGCTTTTCACTTGTTTTCAAACGTTTCAATTATTTAATTTGCTAGTAAATCTCGAAGACATAATGATATGAAGTAATTCAATTCATGTCATTCAACGTAACCCAATTGAAGTTGGAAGAAATTTAACAAATTCATAACATTACAAGTCAATGTTGTACTCCAAAGCTAAATACAATTGAATTACGTCTTAAAAATAACAAGTGTCATTAGCTGAACCTTAAAAATACATTATATTTGTTGAGACTATCAGTGGCAGACGTAGACATTTTAAGTTAGTGGGGCACAATTAAACTTGCAAAAAATACAAATTTACGTTTATATAAATACCACTATATTTGTCATCCTTTTTATCCCCAACATCATTTTCATCACTTTTATCTCAAATATTCCTTTCATTAACATTGTGATCATAAAAAAAAGGCATATTTACGTTTAAATTATTGTTCCATCACAATTAATTCAAGTGAAAGTACAAAAATTACAGAAATTCTAAATATTAAATTATCAAATGCACATTCTAATTCATACAAAGACAAATCACAGCAAGAATCCATTACCATAAAATCGCCGAAACAAGATAGAAATTGAAGCGCTTAAATGGATCTCTAACTCCATTTCATAAGAAAATACAAAAGAAATCATTAAAAAAATACAAATTTCCCCAAAAAAAGAGGCATATAACTTTTGATGAATGAATCTTTCACGTTCTTTAAAAACTTAAAACTTCATTTAAAGTTTTCAGATTTTTCGAGCTAGAGTTCGTTTGCTTCAAATCTAATTTCCATTTATTTAAAAAAAAATAAAAAAAAAACTCAATTTTAAGTTGGTGGGTCAAGTGATCCACCAAGACCCACTGTGGGTCCACCAGTGGAGATAATGATGGTAAAATGGTGTAATTAATGAATTCTGAAAACTTGCCCATCTATCTATACCTATAAAGAACGTCGAGAGATCCACCGCTGGAGCATCGCAAGACATTCCTTAGGCTTGTATTCTGCACATGTGTGTCCTGCACCCTGCAAATAAAGAAGGCAAAAAAAAATTACTTATTTCTTATTTTTCTTCAAGTCACTACGAGTTGTGAGAAAGAGCACAATCAAACTTCTCTTGCCTTGACTGTTGCAAATGTGAGATTGAAGTCATTATTCTTGTACTTCTCTGTGTATCTGTAAAGAACAAAGTATATTGAAATATTGAGAATTACACCATGCAATAAATACACAATATGATCAAGACCTCAAAACCAACCCCGCAACTTGGCCATCGACATTCCAAGGTCTCCAATTGTCTTCGACGGTCAAATTGAGCATGCGAATCCATTTTAAAGTACCCACATATGGGCAAGCCATGTCATGATCACCGCTGGAAACAATAGACGAATAATTATACAACATACATCAAATTTACATACTTCATATATAGATTACATTTATTGCTTAATTAAAATTTCCTATTGGATAAG